GAACCCAAAAGTTATTTTTCTAACCCACGCGCAAAGCCAGAAAATTAGCAGTCTAATTTATTCGAGGCTCTCATATATTAAAGAAGATTAAAGACTTACCTCGAAATCCTACAAGCGTGCCTCTTTTACAGACGCGCAATTTAAACTTTGAACGCTCCTGCTGAAAAGTTTGAATATTCGACGCCTGGATGTAATCTATTTTAAATTTCTACTGGTTTTAAAATACTATATTCGTACATTAATCAGATGGGAAAATTTGGAAGCATGAACGCCTTAATCTTTCGAACTTTGTGTCGGTAATAGGAAGACGGACAATCGTAGAAAGAAAAACGGGGAGAGTCTTTCGTCCGCGGAAATGAGTTGTCCGAAGAATTTCTGTCGAATAATCGCCAGTTCGATTTGAGCTGCATTGAAAAACTGACATATGTGATTTTTCTCGTGTTCGTTTCGTCCTGAGTGAAGAACCGCAGAAAAAAAAAACTACGCTTATTACGCGCCTTTTCAAGTGCTGCAAAAAATAGTTTCAAGAATCCAGGGATTCGCTGTTCACAGTCAGCAAGCAAGGAAACGAGCTCATGATGCGTTACGTGTTGGCCATTATATTGGTATGTGATTGATTTTCATTCTTCCCCGATTCGTGAAATGCTTCGTTGCCCATTGCCGCAGATTATTGCGTACATCGATATACTGTATGAATTTACGATTTAGTTACGATTATGATCGGCGCACGCTAAACCCAAATATGTGAGGATCGGGAGTTGTGTCACGAAACTGCCAAAATGGCATGCCCAGGATACTTTCGCTTCGATGAGCCAATTTTATTGCGCATTCTCGCCAACCGTTCGTGCAGAACATTCCGGGGTTTCTTTCTCGTAGTTACGGCCTCAGAGTTACTGGCTTATTTAATTGAAACTGAGAAAGAAAGACGGGTGTATTTTTAGAGGAGAGGTTTTATCATCATCTTTTGTGCGAGGCCTCCAAATTTTATTCTATTCTGTTGAGAATAGATTTAATTTCATACTATTACGCTTACGATCATCTAGATAATTTCAAACTGAAATGGCTCGAAAATCAGCTATGACAATATCATTAGTTTCAAACTATATTTTTCTCATTTGTCATTTGGCTTCTGCCAATTTCAACACTAGATGGAAGTACATCGCTTCACTTTCTGGGCAACGATTACCACCTGCGGCTCCTTTGCATGAAAGGTTATTTCACTAAATGAACCCGTCACATCGAGCTTTCATAAGTTACATGTAAATGCAATTCTGATCTATTTTCCAACTTGCGCATTTTGTCTCTTAAAAGCCACAGCTTTAATTCGACTCCGTGCTTGCCACTGTAGTGGTAGTGTTATACTGATAGAAAATCAAATTGTTCCTTCGAAACGTGATCCAATATCTGTTGACACGTGAAGGAAATAGTCCTTTCTTTTCATGACCCGAAAAATACTGGGCATGGTCAAGTCATCGGATTATTCTTCTTAGCCATTAGGTGGTTCGTCGTGTATTTCGGTCAGTTGGGTAATGCAAAAAAAAAAAAATTCTTCGGAGGAACCTCGCTCTACAGGTCTCGCTATATAGGGCGGATCTAAAATTAGCGCGGAACGGACGAATTCTCCGGTGAAATTTCAGAGACGACGCGGGACGCACAGTAGTACAGTACATGTGTTTTCGGCGAGGATAAATAAATCTTTGATGGGCAGAGAATGATGCTCGCGCAATCAAACCGGTTGTTTGAATAGCTCATGAGCGAGACAACAACCTCTTCTGAGGTTACCTAGCAACACTTGCTTTACCCGGATCGATATGCTCGAGCGAATGTTTCACGGAACCGGTGGAATCCGCGCAAACATTTTCACGGCGTATGCAGTGACGACGAAGATGCTGTCGAGTGCTCTCGGCGAGCAAGTGCCCGTCGTCTCGCGACGACTGGCCCTCCAGCGAGGGTCTCGGGTTTCGCATCCGGTCAGGCTGCGGCCGAGTTTTTGCACCATGTTCCGACCGGGATCTGGGCTACGCTCGACACCCGACACACGGATATCTCTTGAATCACCGCAAACGTCTTCTATTTCCTCAAAAACAAAAATACAGTACATGATCCCGGAAAAAGCCTTCGTGTCCATTTCCGAGAACACTAGTAATTTAGAGTCTGGGCCTGTTTTTTTTAACATTTATCTTGGTTAATCTTTGAAAATCGATTCACCGTGTTCACTCAAATGCCCTGCACATTTACAGATGTAGTAACTTCTAAATGAGAAGAAAATCGAATGGAATTGGATTATCGTTTTATTTAGGCATACATGTATAATATCAGCTGTAAAAAAATTTTAATTGTAAAAGAAAAATTCGTAAAAATAGAAGAGCGTTTCTCATGCAGAACTACAGTACGGTTTTATCTATTTCTTCAACTCGAAAGTGAAGGTGCGCATTTAATACAAGGAAGCGTGGTACTTGAGGGAATACACCGATAAACATAAGATTGAATCAGTTTACCAATAATTTATCAGCATTCTTCCATTAATAAAAAAATCTCCCCAAATATGATTAATTTCGTGTTTTCCTATACAGCGTGCTGGGCCAGGAAAGTCTCTTAGATTTTCAAGACTCTAAAAGGGTAAATACAAAGCGGCTGACTTGTGGGTTCAAAATAAATGTCAAGCATACGCTTTCAGACTTTGTGTTTTTTTCAACAACAAAAATGAAAACCTGTCTTATTCTCGGAGGAAAAACGGCATGAATTCTTATTGGCCTGTTTTTTTTTTCTCCAAGAACTCGCGTGTAATTGAATGTAGAAAATCTAGGATTCGGATGGCAAAATGACGAAGTGAAAATCAAGTATCCCTTCCGGTCTTGCAGCTCTCGGAAATGCGTGCTGACACTGTTGACGCTCTCGTCAGACCATGGCTCTCATGAGCCCTGTTCAAAAGAGGGACAATGTGCTGTAGCTCTACGCTTCCTCGACAAATTGCATTTAAAATTCATCAGGCTGGGAATGAAAAATAAGAGCGCTTGATGCGTGATATATTCTTTGGTAAAAAAAAAGTTTGTTCCAGTTCAGCGCCGTTATGCTTCCGAAACACGTCCTTGTTCCGCAGATGCGTCCGCGTCTTGCGAAGCTTCAATGTTTTAAATCAGTTATCCTGAGGTGGAACGAGAGAAAGGAGGTGTTCCGCACATTTCCAGAGCATTTCATGGTCCATTAAGCTAATAAAGCTTATCACTGGCTGATAGTCAACCGTGACTGCTGCTGCAAAATAGAATAATGATGAGCTGTAGGGCATCCTGCGAGCGGATTACTGTGTTCTCAGCGTCGCGGGCCGGAAGTGCTACAGGCACCCGACAGAGCTTTGGAAAATCCAGGAAATAAGTGCACCCGTGCTGACGGTTCGCTTCGAGAAAAAAAAAGCGTGTGAATGTCGACTTTGAGAAGTGAGACGAAGGACTTACTTGAAGGGTGCGTCTTATGTTGGAAAGTCGTAAGAGAATAATTCCGTTGACACCAAAAAGACATGATGACGACTTGAGAAAAAGCACGGGAAGAATGAAGCTTTTTCCAATCAATGAACTGTCGACACGTATCAAAATAGTATTTTTTAGACTTTTTTTTTCTCGGAGCTGATCCATTTTGAGAGCTTTCCGGAGTTTGATCCTAACTTTTATGGGATATCCGGAGAGCGGATTACTACCCTCTCAACTCCCCTACTCGTAAGGGCTAAAAGATCCGACTGTACTTCGTTATACACAGGAAAAATCTGACGGCGTGTTGAATGTTTGAATGTTTGATGAACACTTATTTCATTTTTCAAGGAAAATAGGAATATTGAGGCTGTGAATAATTCATGTTGATGCTGAGGAGAGCGTAATTCCCACAGCGATTAAAAATCATATTTTTTTCGTCAGTACAGTACCGATTTTGTATCTATTACGCAACATGAAGTAACTCTCAGGACGTTTTTGGGGCCTTTCTTTCATATAAACAATATGTTGCAAAAAAATTATATTTGAAGGAAAGATATGAATGATCATTAAATTGATCCAGAATTAAGTACTGTACATAGCATTTCTATCAAATTTATTTTTATTTCATTTTATTTTTCAAGACAATTCAACAGCACTTTAGTAGAAAGGCGCGCTCAATTATTAAAATTAATTTGTAGTCAAAATGATCCTCTTTATTTCATCACAGAGACATAGAAATGATGACAATTAGGTCTTGAATTATATGTTTTTGGAAGCCCTTTATATACAGTGATTATTGCCCATTTCACACAGAATTTCAGAAAAATGTGCTCAGCCAAAAAAAAAAATGAATATATCCTGTGAATTCTTCATCAGGTCCCTCAGAGTTTGTTTTAGTGAAATTTTACTGTACTGTGATGCAGGTGGTACCTCACAATTTGACCTCCCGCAAATTTGACTATGGTTGTCCTGCCATTTGATCGTCAAATTTGCAGGGAGGGTGACTTGCATTTCGACCCTTACCCCACAATTGAACCTGCATTTGCCATTTCTTTGAGTTTTTGTACTTATATTTCTAAATTTCATGGAGCGTCTCGCAATTCGACCAATTCGCAATTCAACCCTAATTTGGCAATTGATTTGGGTCGAATTGCGAGATACCACCTGCGCAGGAGTATATGCTAGAAATTCAACAAATGAAAAGCAGTGACGCGTGGCGCCACCTGTTTCCCTGGAGGTTTTTGCAAATCACAATATTGCATTGTACCTTTTATTCGGCCGCGAGGAATTCATGCATGTATGCATGCATACAAGGATGCATCCATGTCTGGCGTCCCTCTCGCAGCACCCTTTTTGCCACGAAACCGTCTCAGCCGAATCCGCGCATTCTCGGCGGAGCTGATTGCCGCGGACGGAGCTGAGTGGGAATTAATGTGACTTCCTGTGCCGTGTAGCGAGCTCTTGAAGAATGGAGGAAGAATAAGGCGAGTATAAACCCTGAGTGCGCCCCGAGGCTTGATGTGTCATTCCCGATCACTGCCTCTTCCCCGGGTCCCGAGAGGCCCAGCGGGTATTGCACCAGCTTATGAATACGGGTGTGTATAGCAGAACAGTACGGATATAGGGCGCAGTTCCTCGACGCCGGCTTGTTTCTCGTCGCTTCACGTCACGTCACCGCGACGACCTCGCGCGCCACTACCTGGTGCACTCACTCAGCCGCCTCGCGGGTTTTCCCGAGGTCGAGTCTTTGGCCCTGTTTTTCTCGACGACGACGACGACGATGAATGCTGCATGCGGGAAAAGCCGGTGGAAGTGACTCTGATCTCGCTGGCCTTCGACGAGTATAACTGGGCTGCTGACTGGTACCACTCTACTACATACGCGCGGGGATGGGTGTTAGTCAGTTAGCCAGTTACTTAGTTAGCAACTCAGCGGCGTAATCCTCGACCTGACGTGGGGCACTTAATCGCTGTCACGACTCCATCGCACTGTAGCTTTTCCAGTGGCCAGTCCTGATGGGCTTGGCAGGTTGGCTGCAGGGATCTCATAGCCGTTAATCTCTGTTCCGCAGGTCGCTGCCGTGTGCTGCATCGCCTGGCAGCCAGCTGTCGCCGCGACGAGAGCCAGGAGCAGGCGGGCGACGGGTGAGGAGAATTAATTCCCGTCATTTACATTCCCCGCCATCCACGCACGCATCAAACCCCCCGCTCTCTTCTCTCATATTCTCGCGGGCATCACGAAACCATTCTTCTTTCATTCATTCATTCATGCTTTCCCCCTTTTTTTTCGACCGAAATTCCGGGCCGCTTGAAAGAAATAAAAAATAAGCAAGAAATCATTTCCCTATATACTCTGACGCGGGTTCGCGTTCGTGATGACGCAGGAAGCAACCCTGAGCAGTTTTGTAGTTGTTGGAGCTCCCGTTCCGCAATTAAGCGGGTGTGCTGCGATGCGCCGCGTCAAGGTCGACAATGTCCTGACAGGTTCCAGATGAGACGATCTTCGGATCGGGTTGGATTGCAATTACAGCGTGAACCGCTCTGACTGCTGGCTGCCTCGAATGTGCCACAATACGGGTTCGCAATGCAATGCGGTTGAACCTCGATCACTCATCGAACCTCCTCCCTCTGTCGATTTTTTTTGTGCATGCCTCTGTCTGAATTCCCTTAGCAGAAAAAAACATTAAAATTTTCCTTATTTCCTCCTCGAACCACTCAAATTTTCAAGAGATTTTTTTGTTGTTGCTATAATCATATTGATACAGGAAAGAGTAAAGTAATGAAAATTTGGTACTTTCCTGATATCTCTGTACCTTCCCTCTGAACAATTTAATATGACCTAACCTAACTTCACCAAACCGCCTCCCAAAATCAGTTTCTGCTTTCTTTGCTGGGTTTTGGCTGAAACTGATTTTGAAAGGTGGTTAGGTAAAGTTAGGTAAGATCAGTTTCAGCAGAATGCGGAAAAACAAAATGAGTGGTTGTTGTGATTATGAACTTGTCCTAAAGATTTGTCTGGATGGTAGTGTGGTCTTGGAATGAGGTACTGAGATAACAGGAAAGTACCAAAAAGGTACCTTGATGTGTTTTGAAAGGAAGTGAAAGACTAATTGTACAGATGAATAACCCTTGTCTCCAAGTTCAGCATTGCATGACAACTCATTTAAGAAGCAATTCAAGGCCCAGAATATCACTAATAAAAATTTCCTCCAATTCTTCTTTCTTTCATGCAACAAAAATGCTTGTTTCCCAAACTCGATTTTTTTTGGTCTCTTGAAGTTTGACTCAAAGAGGTTCCGTCGCATTATACACATTATTTTTGTAAGAAACCTCCACCCTTGAAATTCCTGGGAGATAATTATCCATGGCCATCAACAATCTATGTGTTGCCAGGCGTTAAAAACAATCATGATTCATCTTAATCCTCCAGAGTGATTTTGCAACATCCAGTATATACAGGATAATTTTCTCCATTGCAACCCTTTCCAGAAATGTAGTGCGGGTTCATCGACGGAAATGTTTCATTTGAGCTTATATAATTGATGCATCCTGCACTTCTGCTGAATCATGCGGTGTTCCTCTTCATCATCGTCTCATCGTCAGATATGTAGAAAAGTTTCATGTACCCAGTAAACATTTGTTTTAGACTTGATCGCAGCGTGGAAGTACGTGCCTTTGATTCCATCAGTCGTCCGTCAAAGTTTGGATCATTACAAGAGTCACTTGCAGTTTGTGCCTCGAAATGGATTCATCATGAAACTCTCGTAGATATGCATGTACAGTATATACATAATGAATGAATTTCATTAAATTGAGAGCCTGTGAAAATTGAATGGGTAAGTTGCTTATGATGTTGGATCGGTTTAACTTCATTCCACCTTCCTTTTTTTGTGCAAAGAATAAGGGTTTAATTTGCTAAGACGATATGTTCTCCCGTTCTCTGCATTATTCATTGGAGTTGCGTCCTTCTCGGTATGAGAAACTCGGTAAAATTATTGCTGTACACTACGTATCCGTAGAAAGGAGGACGAGGAACGCCGCAATGCTATCCATAAATAAATAAGCATCACGATTCAATTTGGCTCGTCGGCGTTTCTCTGAAAATATTCCATTAGAAACGCCGAGACGCTTCTCCCGTATCGGACGGAGGTGAGTTGTTATAGATTGCTGATTGAATCACGGGTGACTGATGCCCCTGTGTATACGGGCGAAGGAGTTGATTGCATTTCCCGTAATGCGCTGAAATAACCCGAGTGTGCGTGTGTGTGTGTGTGTGTCCAGGAGGAGGACTCCCGCGGTTGCAATGGAACCAGTACACGATTCTGCAGGCCGCCGAGTTGGTGGCGACGGGCGAATGCTCGGACTACGTCGTCGGCGTCCAGTTGACTTCTTCCCTGGGTCCCTTCGATTCGGGACGCCTCGAACTCGGGAGCCCCGGAACTCGGTGCTTCCGGGAAGTGGAAATCCGGGGAAGTAGTCAAGTGAACCTTCGGCTCTCCTCCTACGAATGTCGAGAGGAGATGGAAGAACGCGTGAGAACCTCGTTCCTTTTCTTGCTTTGTGGAAATCACTCAACAACTCCTGCTAATCCACCTTCAATCGCCAAAAAAAAGCTGCAGTTGAGCGTGTCTGAAACCCGCGCGTACGAAAACATCGCGTGTCTACGAAATACGAGTACCCCGACATACAGACAATCAGACGTGGGTACATTTGAAATTTTAGAACATCAGCCCCAACAATCGAACAATGCCTCAATATACGGACACTTAAACACATTTCTATAAAGATTCAACATGCTGTTTTTTTCTAAATTTCGATATCTCTTGAACAAATTGAGCTATTCATGTTCATGAAAAGTAATAAATTAATTTCACATAAAATGTATGCCATTCATAATAAAAAAAGGCTGATTTTGTGCCTTTTTCCAGAGTTTTTCCATCATACCTGCACAGCATAGTTAGACGTGTTCTTGTTCTTTGCTTTTTTGAGCGTCTTCTGATGCGAAAATGTAAGATTCTGTGTGCTTATTTTCTGTACCATGAAGTTGAGAAAACCATTTTTATTCAATTTTTTAGGGACTTCATCCTTAATTTTTGATGAACAGGAGAACGAATTCAATGAGTTCCCATTACCGCAGCCTATAAAGAAATGTGATCTGCCATATGGATTTTCTGACATAGGGACAAGATCTGAACACCCATTACGTCCGCATCTCGAGGCCCCTCTGTAGAGATGAAATTTAAGAACAATATTGCTCGCGTTGAACAGCACTTTACTGGCAAGAGATTCGTGACAAGTCGCTCAACAGAATGCTCATTTTCATCACTAATTTCACTACATACTTGTAAGGTTACCATGTTGAGCATAAGTCCTTCACAGCAGTGGTTATCGACTAAATCATCAACGCACTGCATGATAATGGTGAACCCCGTCTGTTGCACGATATTTTCGGGACGACAATTCAGCGGGCCTCACTCTGCTGTATATATATCTATAATTTAAGACACCTACTGATTTTTCTGTTCACGTTAATAAGAGATTTTAAATGTGAGAGTCTTGAAAAGAGGTTTTTCACTAAACTGCACGGCTGGTATCAAGTGTTTTTCATTTATCCTGATCTTGGCATGCGCTGTTTTCAATGCGTTGCCGGACGCGCTCAATTGCCCGGAGCGATCCATTCAACATCGCCAGGCCAGGTGGAAGATCGAAGGGGGAGAATCAATCAAGGATCTAAAATTGGACTCGGTGTTTTCCACAGATGCTCCCGGTTCAAGTAAAGGTAACTCTGGGAGCGCGGACGTTGACTACGTCAGTCAAGTGTTTGTTCAAACCGGACTCCACTGCGTACTGGAAACGATCCTACGGACGACGATCCGTCGCGTCTACTTCAGGTTTGACCGGAAACTCGAACACTCCCCGGGGTTTCGGTTATAGGGCTGTTTTGACTTTAAACCATCTGCGTTCTTTCAGCCCTTCCAACCCTGCTAAAAATAATCGACACACATTTCTGTGCTTTATACAAGGCAAACACATGACAAAATGAGCTCAACAAACGCCACGAGGATTCAAAATCCATGGCACTTCCATTTTCATCGAAATAAATTCAGTCGAAATTTGTTATCGCTCGCACAAGGTTACAGAAAAAATGCGTCCCTCCTCAAAAAAAAAAAGATATCGTTTAAGCAAAAGAATGGTATACATACACTACTAATAATGAGGGTTGTACAATAATTTAAGGCTTTTCTTCATGAAAGCATCGAATCGTGTCACTTCGGGTTCCAGTTGAATAGTGAGATTTACAGTAGAATTTCGGAAATCCGCGGATCGGGATAAGGAATGCTAAATAAAAATGTACAAATGCTTCGTTCGATATACATTTGGAATAATGGTCGTCGGCTTTTTTGCAACAAAACCCCAATATTGCATCGAATGAGTCCATGAGTATTCTCATTTGAATGGTACATGTTGCGACCATGCGCCTTTTAAACCATAGCACAAATGGATGATAACACGCCTTATAATAGCACCCCTTTCGATTTATCAAGGCTGAAATTCCAAAAAGAAGGGTGGATTATTATTTTTTTTTGAAAAAATACTTAGGGTTTGTGCATGAGTCACGCACTCACGCGTCAGAAATGCCCATGGGGTCAAAATTACATGATCGCGGCAGTAATCATACGATTCACGAATCGTCCTCTCAAATGCTGGGATGAAGCTCGCAGAACTGAATTCGATTAACCTCATCGTCGGGAAGATGAATTAACTCATGGGCTGAATGTAATCTACACTTTTTATTCCAAGACGTTCCTTTTCTTATTCTATCATCTAGCCTTGGTCGTCTCGTCTCGTCTCGTCGGTGCCTGAATATTTGGTTTGTATCGCTCTGATGTTTGTTCTCCTTGAATCCCTGAGCAGACTTGGTTCCAGCGAAGCCGCAGATTCTGCTGTCTGAAGACGAGTTCAAAGTGGTGGGCTACTGCGAAGAGAACCAGATGCGGATCATCCTCAGGAGCACGGCCGGGTTCGACGGACTCGTGCACTTGGGCAAACCCGGCGACGCCAGTTGCTTCAAAGACGAATGGGGCATGTCTCAGAGGTCCCTGCAACTCAGTCTCAAGTATGCCGACTGCAAAAAACAAGCTGGGCAGGTTCGTCAACTGCCCTCTCACCCACAAATTTAACGTTATGAAGAAGTATAAGGCGAGAGGGAAATTCCAAGTTATACCGCTGACGTGAGAGAAAAAAAGTGGAATAAATGATCCGAAATGTAAGTTTATTAATGTCAAGGACTCATCCTCGAACGAAAAAAAAAGTTTTTTAATAATGATTGACCGTGCTTACGCATGCAGGGAAAAACGACCGCTTCCGACTTTAAACTCAACTCAGCAAGTCACGAACGACGTTTCTCATCAATGAAAATTTTATACAGTACTTTTAAGTTAAAAGGTTTTCAATGAGTGATTTCGAAAATGGACCCACGACGTCCAACTGATCGTGTGATGTACCTACTATCGAAAATTGGTGCTCAAAAGCGTCGTAATTCTCAAATTACAGTACCCTGTTTACAATGCCATCATTTCTTCTCCAGCATGTGACATGCATCAGTTTACTTCTTGCAGGGATAATTGAACATTCGTGAGCTTTCAAGGAGCATTGTATCATTACACAGTATTTGGTATATGATGTCGCTGTCAGACAGCGCCGCGTTGGTAGGACTGGGTCCAGCACGCGGTGCAACAAAGGAAGCTCACGCCGCGTGGCAAAAACCTGTGGAAAGACGGGATTTAGCCAAAGGCAACTTTTTGCACTTGGCTCAATCCCAGGGTCATTTTGGCGAGTACAAAAAGGCTGCGCATCTCACACAGTCCATCACTTTAGAAGCTCCTCTTGGTCAGAGATTATGAATCATTTAGTGTCGATTTTAATTATCGTTTCTTCACTCCTCTTATGTTTGTTGACGTACTACTGTGAAGTTTTCGGGAGATATAGATTCTCAGTGCACTTGAAGAGTCGATCACGTCACATGTTCAGCATCCTTATGCGCTAGCTTTACTTCATCCTTGAGCTCTTTGTCATTCTGCGCACTAAACAACTCATATTTTTTCATTTTCCGTAGATTGTGTTTGGGTTGCCAGTTGGTGTTGTTACGGAAGACAATCGGGTGTTGACGGCTAATTTGAAGTGTTACCGGCCGTACGTGGACTCTGACGAACTTCCGTCAACAACACTGTCCCCATCTCGCATCGTTGACCCGCGTAAAGGTTATTTTATTTCATTTCAATTATATTCAATTAAGGAAGTCCTTGAAAAGTATATCCCAGATTCTCCTTGAAAATAGTGTTTCGATCCTGACCCTGTATCCCTTTTTGAGTCGAAGGAAATGGCTCTAGGATATTAGAGTAAATTTGATTTCTTCTTGAATTCAACTTGATTTCCTCCCAGCCCTGTATGTCATTGGAACTCTCTTTTGACTGAAAAGTAAAATTAAATAGTATCGAGTCTAATTCATTGGCAACGGGAGCACGATTTGAAGTAAATCAAATCCGTGAAGATGATGCTTGTGAACCCTGATGAGACGAGTGCCGCTGAAACGTTTGTAACATATATTGTACTTGCAGATGTGAAAAGCTTTGGGTTGCTGAGATCCAGAGACTTGACGATTGACGCGAGCTGCGGCCGAGGCATGATGTGGGTGACGTTGTCTGCCCCAGATGGGTTCCGTGGCAGGTTGCTGTTTGGCAAACCCGGCACCGCGTGCTTCAAGGAGTTCCCGGGGGTATATTATGTTCAGCAGCGCACTGCCGTCGTCTTGCGACTGTCGCGGGCAAGGTGTGCGTCCTACGATGAGGTAACCAATA